AGGGGGGGGGCAGGGAAGAGGGAGCGGTGATTTTAACTTACCATGCATCCGTTGGAGAGTACTTTAGGTCTGAGCGAGGTCTTAGATGTGGCGTGATATTCCATTTCATTAGAGCCCTTGAGTTTGATGGAGTATCTTCCATCTTCCCAAGCCATGGAGTTACGGCAGGCGTAGGTGATGTTCTGATTAGCATAGTTGCTAAATGTCTTCAGGAAGTTAAGCTGTGTGTAGTGGGCGTCGTATTCAATCAATTCGGTCTGAAATCAAACAGGAATCGCGATTGAGAATTCGCAACTCTTGAAGATGTATAGCTCGCTCGCACAGCTTGTTGGCCAATGAAAGAGCAGGATTAGGGTTACTTGGCCAGAACGGACCAATCAGCGACAAGTATGAAATGACAACTTCACGGAGTGAAGAACTGTGAATGGCTGATTGGTACATTGTGTTCAGATGGACCTAATTTTGGTATCTTATTGGCAAGCAAGTTGAAAACGTGCGACTGAAGTGATCGTGCTATATTGCTTTCTACTTAAAGAAAAACTGTTGTGCTTGGTTTTGCACGAAGTATGATAACGACAAAAACATTTCGCAGGCTAACCTCTTCACTTTCTTTAAAAGCTTGGCTCAGCCACTTGTCTTCCTTGTCCTGGAATTGTGCTTTGATTGTAAGGTCAGAGATCTGCGATTAAACCACCAGGGAATGAATATCAGAGCAGGAGACACAAAGAGCTTTGTACTGACAAACTAAATCAAAACACATCGTATTTTCCCTTCACCACTAACGCACAGAATATCAACGTCAATGACGCGATCATTCATCATATTATTTCTCCTAAAGTACCATTTCTACAGGAACATAAGTCACTTACTTTCGAGTTCTTGGGATAGACACACGACGAATTCTTGCCCTTATCACAGAACACCCAGATGGCATCCTTGATTGTTCCACCGTTAGGATCGATCCAGAACATACCTTTCAATAACATAATGATATAATACATTTAGAGCAACGGTTAAAAGGACTGGTATCGAGGAAGTGGTGAGGACATGGGAAAAAGTTTTGCAGTATGGTTTTCAGATCAGCCCCTTAAATATGACCCATTGTTTAGAGCCTGTTCCATATTCTAGGTTAATAGAAGTGAGCGTAAGAGCGGGCGCGCGAAAAACGGAGCAAGGGGAAGGAAGGGGGGTATCAGACAGGCGTTTCCTTGACAACCAAACACAGGTCGCTCGCCTGCTTCTTTACTGGTGCCCACTGGCTGAAAGAACGTGAAGAAATTAACAGAGATGAATGGAGAACCTACCGTTCTTGTAACTCTTGTGATCAAGGAACAGATCGTAACACGTTCTTGCAGGATATTTTCTGGTACCGTCTGGTTTTATTTTCAAATCGATTTCTTTTTCTTTTGCATCCAATCCTCTAAGTATATCCATAGGCTAAAGGACGAGAAGCGTGACAGACTTAAAACAAAGTTAGTGTAAGGGTTTGAACGTCCATTGTCTATCACTAAAGAAAGAGAAAAGCAATACAACACAAACTAAACGAGATTATCAGTGTGAGTTTAGTTGGAGGCTTGAAATCAAACATGATTTTTTCTTTTTCATGTAAAGCCTACCTTAATTTCTTGAGTTGGCATTTCCTGCAAGAACAAGAAGTATCACAAGCGACCAATGAGAAACTTAAGTCAGTTTTAACATCCGAACACGCATGGGTTAGGATTATTTTCAAAGATTATGACAACCTTTGACTGTGTCTTTGGTTTACATTACTGTAACAAATTTCGCCTGCCTTCATATGTTTGGATGAGAACAGTCCTCCATTGCTTAATATCAGGCCAATTTTAAAGTTTCCCTTACCTTTCTGCTGCTTGAGTATAAACGGAATCCTGGACCTTTTTCAATGTTTGCAGTAGTCAAGTACTATAGAAAGAGAATGAGTTTAGCGTCAAATTATAAGGAAAAAGTTTCCGTAGAGAAGAATCAGGCTTTAGTTACCTGGAGAGATAGTTCCTTTTAAGAAACAATTTCAATGAATGATCATTAAAAACAAACATAAACGCCATTTAAGTGGGATGCCCTTTGTAGAACACTATTTTTAGTACAAATGAAAGAGTGGAGTAGTTATACTTACTTCGAGTAATCCTGGACGGCCTGGCTCACCCTAAACACACAAAAACTTTGTTTTAAATCCTCTTTGTTAATTGTTCAAAGTTGAAAACAAAATAAAAATCTTATAGTACAGATTTTATAAGTTTGATTAACACAGCGTGAGCAAGAACACAGCTTCTTTTAGTTCCGCAAATATCATTACCATTGCTTTTATCATTATCATTCTAACGTGAAGGAAGTAATCTTAGAATCCCGAACTTACGGGAGGTCCCGGAGGTCCTGGAGGCCCGCGTGGTCCCTGAAAGAAAATGATTAACGGTAATTAGTGACCAATAACGAGTGCGAGTCTTTGTGGACAATGACATACCCATAACTTCAATTAAAAGCCATAGGAAAAAACAAAAACAAAACAAAACAAAACAAAACAAAACAAAAAAAACAAATCTAAAAACAAATCGATTGAAGATTTAAATTGAAGAAAGTTTAAACCTCTGTTTAGGAGCAAAAAATTCAGTTACAAAAATAAGAGTGTTCTGTACTTACTTTGTATCCCCCAGGTCCCTTTGAGAAGGTAAAAAAAAAAAAGAGAAAAAGAAATCATTAATTCCTGGTTAGTGAATATCGATTCCTTGTACATAACAAAATGACCGCCTAAAGACAGCAGCAATCTCAAAAGTAATCACAGGAAAAGAAAAAAAGCCATCAGATCTATCAGGTAAACTAGTAAAGCGTCATCTAATAGAGCGGCACACACAAAATTCCAGTTTCAAAATAGCTGAGATCTGTTAAAACTTTTTCGAACAAACGAACAAAAGGAGTGAGTTTCTAAAGAAACTGTGGTGCTGCGTCGATGGGGGAGAAGGGGGGTATTTAAAGATACTTTGGCTCTATTAGCTTAGTTGATTATGTAAATTGGCCTCCGTAGAGAGTTTTTTTAAAGCGAGGTTTGAGGTTAGTCTTTCGCCGGAGCGAATGTCAGCAAGGCAATTTTCGATAAATTAACGAAACTTTGTCTCCTCAGGGTAGGTTCTATTTAAACGGAATCTTGTAAGATTAAGTGAGACGCAAAACTGAAATGAAACGTCATAATTACTACGCCGGTGAAGCAGATAACACACTCACCTCATTTCCCGCCTCTCCCTGTGGGCAAATTAAAAAACAAAAAAAATTATTACACTCAAGGTGATGAGTTAAAACAAAATAAATCGGACAGGTTTCATTTGAAGTCAGTGTCCTCTTCATCCTTTCAGAATGACTAAAATCTTTTTCCCCTTTACAGAATCACCTCAGAATCAAACCACAAGATCATGAGAATAAATGAAATATGAATAAAGAAAATTATTACCAACTAAAAGCCAATGACCTTCTGACTCCAAGAGTCCAGCAAACAGGTAATGAGAATACCCAAACTCATCAAGAAGTTGTTATCTTGATCTAACACCAAACTCTCGTAACTAATTAACAAGGAAATGTGTAGCAGCAAGAGGGGAGAATTAACAAGCAGATCTTGTGAATCAAAGGGTCAATTGTTCAACGAATTAAACTACTCGGTACCATAGAAAAAGTATCGAGCTCAGTGTGGTGATCATGCAGAAATTAACAAATGGTAAACACCACAGCGTACACTATTGAGTTATGGTGCACGCGGGAGGTTGCTAAGCACGAAAGAAGCGTAAGAGTCGCTCGAGGCGATAGCCGAGAGCGACTCTAGCTTCTTGAGTGCTTAGCAAACCTCCCAAGTGCATCCATAACTCAATAGTGTACGCTGCGGGGTTTACCATTTGTTTTCTAACATAACATTAACACTTAGCTAAAGAGTTCCCTTTTATTTAACAAATCTTACGCGACCAGAAAAAACAAGCGCGCGCGGAAAAATAGTCTTTGCATTTGCTCACGTCAGCAGCGTACACCCATGGGCAAATGGGGGACGCTAAATTGACCAATCAGAGCGCGCGCTTTACTTTGGTTATGTTATAAGATGATACGGTGAAAAGAATCGAAAATAATTCGAAATACATACAGGGTCACCATCAGGTCCTTTCATGCCTGGTTCACCCTATATATAGAAGAGAGATTTCTGGGTTAAAAGTTTGAACCAACGTACCATAAAAATATGTGCAATGTTAAGTTAATACCACAGTTCAACACATCTGTGTCCCACCAAAACCAGGGTTCGCACACTTTTTCAGGCCAAAGATTCGAGGACTTTTCAAGGACTTTCCAGGACCCTACTTAGAAACTTCAAGGATTTTTTGTAATGACAATTTTACCTCAAAACCAAGAAAAATGTTTCTGTTAACATCTATGTTTTGGGTTTACCGATGGTGCAAAACAAAAGCAGATATTTTTCGATGTTGTTCAATAAAAATTCAAGGACTTTCAAGGACCCAAAACGAAATTCAAGTACTTTCAAGGCCTTGAAATCGGTCTCCTGAAATTCAAGGGTTTTCAAGACGCGTACGAACCCTGCAAAACCCAATGACCCCCATCCAACTTTAAGTTTATTACAGATCTGTTATAGAGCAGGTCAAAATGGCTCAAGCCAATCTGGAAATTAATCCGATGAAAAACTTAATTCAATCGCGACTTGGACAGTTTCATTTACCCTGCTTCAGGCAATTTTTCTTGTTTTTACTTAGACACTCAACTGAAACACGTTCTATTTAGTACAGCGGTAGCATCTTCTCTTTCCACAACTTCAAAAATAATTTCTTGTTGTGAAGGTATCTTACAATAGATGAGAGGCAATCCTTAGTAACGGGGATTTAGAATGTCCTATGTATATGTAATGTTCAAGATGATGGTGACGTGTAGTCAAGCCCATCCTTGCAAACCATAAACGAGTACAAAGAAACCAACAAAACAAACAAATTAACAGATTATCGAACACAATTAGACTCTCACCGCTGTTCCGTTTCTTCCTGGTGGACCGGGATTTCCTCTTGCTCCTGGTGGCCCCTATGGCCAGAAAAAAAAAAGTTACTTTTCCGCACAGTTAACTGCATTGACCCCATAAACAAGCAACGAGAAAAGACAAGCCTATTAGCCGGGTTTGGGGGAGTAATCTCGATATAACCCCAAATTTTCCCAAACCCTTTCACAAAGAGATGTATTGTGGCTAAAGGACATAACGTTCGTAACAGACATATGCAAGTCTGTAACTCCCATTGCGGGCCTATGTTTACGTAAACATCCGGGCAATCGCCCATGTGCTTTGAAAAGGAAAATCGTCGCGTTCATTTCAAAAATGTTTTGTAGCCGTGTATTGTAGTTGTTGTAAACCCTAAGCTCGAACAGTCGGTGACATAGTTTACTAACTATGTCGGTGAGTTCTCACTTCAGTTGTTTATGTTGTAATTTCGTTTGTTTTAAGCGTGTTTTCTGTTTGCAGAAAACCTCTCCTTTACTGGTTAGTCGAGTTTTCGACTCAGGCAAGTGTTTCTGTGAAATAAACAACAAAGTAATTTCGTTTGATAGTCGACCATGCATTTCTTTTTTTAACCCTTGTTGATTCCAATTAAATTCGGATGCCGGTGCCAATCAATGCTTAGGATCAGAGCTGGCAGGGTTGACGAAGAATTCAAAAAAAGTAAGTGAGCACAGAGATCCAACATAGGATGATTTTCTAAATTCCTGCTTGACTGAGTATAAAAATATTAAGAACACTTTGTCAAATGATTAATACTCAGATTTGAAGGGTGAAATTATAAGCAGCTTGTAAGACAGTCCACGACCACACCCTCTCTAATAAGGTACTTCTCGCTACCCTTTGATAGCCTAAAATGTTACCTCATTCGTTTCATTTTGGTAAAACTGCTCTTTACAAATTTGCTTCAGGTAAAAATGCTTTTTGTTTCATCTTTTTTTTTTGTTAAAATCTACGTGCAACAGCTAACAACTTCCGAAACTTATTAAAAGGAAAAGCGTCCCTTTAAAACGTGAAAGGAGTTCGGGCAAGGTTTTGACACGCCTAGGTACCAACCCTAAGTCCTGGAGGTCCATCTACTCCGTCAACACCTGGTGGTCCTCTCTCGCCCTTTAAGCAAACAAAGCAATCAGTTATTACCGTGTTTCTCGCAAGACGAACGTTTAAAGAACAGGTTTGATTGAAATCTGCCTCAGACCTTAGCTCAGTGACGCAGCGCAAAACCAAGTAAAGAAACCCACCCACTGTTTTCCAGTGCAAACACAAGCAAACTTGTTTGACTTGTTTTTACCTGTGGGCCATCAGGTCCAGTCGCTCCTTTAGGTCCCGTCCAACCTTTGTCTCCCTTTTCGCCAGGTAGACCAGTGTCACCTTTCTCTCCTTGAGGTCCTTGATTTCCCTACAAGAGCAAAGAATGCAGATTCACAGTTGAATGAGTGAATAAGCGAACATCGACAGAAGCGAGGAAGCAAAGAAGGCAGAAAGGAACGAGGGAGTAAGGAAAGAGATGGATAGATAGATGAGGAACGGATCATTGGGCAAGGGGACGGGGAACGGATGAACTGGGGGACAATTGGAGTGACTGTAACAGAAACGGATGGTGCAGAAACGGACTGTGGGACGGAGGAATGAGAGGAAGAAAGGATGGAAGAACGGACGAACGCGGGCACATGGCCAAGGACAAAAGAAGTATACGCGGACAAAGGAATGGAACGGAACGACAGAGGGAGGAAAGTACCAATGGGGAGGGGGGGGAGGTGAAGACAGACAGGTGGAGGGGAGGAGAGACGGATTTGCTCTATTAAGAGAAGGAATAAAAAACTTTTGAATGATTGACTCTGAATGACTCTGAATGATTGAATGACCCTAACTTAGTTTTAACTAACTTTTGACTGAGTCCTGGATTTCGTAAGGCCCGCCACGATTGTTTATGCATGCCCCCAATTAAACCAGCTCGAAAGCTGAACTGGGCTCGTCTGTCTCAATATCGCAAATAAATACAGTTGAAACTGGGATGAGGTCAGGGACATGAAATGCACAGAAAATAAAATCTATAATCAATTGAAACAGTTGAAAACTTCGTTTGGAACTATAAATTGTTTCTCACCGGGGCACCAGGATCGCCTCGTTTGCCAGGAACACCATCACTTCCACGACGTCCCTAAACATGAAAGAAAAAAAAAAAAAAAAAAAAGGAAAAAATAACACCAAACACTCAGACTTAATACTAAAGAACGCTATTTTGACATCCTTGTTTCAAGTCCAGTTCGCTCGCATGTAGCTTACCTCTCTCGATCCCTTGGGTAACAGACAAGGAATTTCTCCTTACGATAATACATAAAAATTTCAATGAGTGATTCGATGGCCAAACAGGTGGCGTTAAGCAAAATTTATGAAAAAAAAGACCTTGTTTTCATAGTTTAGGTATTCGGTTGATTAATCAATTTGTTTTGAACTTTCCGAAAACATTTCAAATCTTTTGCACCTTTTCTCCCTGGGATCCCCGTGGTCCTTGATCTCCCTTTGGTCCCTCAATACCAGCAGGACCTGGGTCTCCTGCTTTTCCTGGTTCTCCTGGGGCACCTCGTTCTCCCTACAAATTGAACACAGAAGAAATTTAAAAAATCTTTTTTAATCACATGACCGTTTGTGACCCTACGTGCGCTTTAATCGAAAGACATTATTTCATGAGAATCTATGTACGAGTGAAAACATCAGCATGAGTTTGGGAAATGTCAGACGCCGGAGTGGCATGCGTGCGACGCTTGGCCTCATCATGTGAGGCACCTGTGCAAACGCATCGGGGAGCCATCTTCTCACGCATGCCACATCTCTGTTACGCATGCCAACGAGCTGACATTTTATTCCCATGTGTACTAGATGGCACGAGTAGGGGAAGTAAGAGTTTAATAGAAGGAAAATGAATTAAAAGAGGGCAGGGGGCATATGAAAAAAAAAGCTTATTATTAGGTTAGGTCAAGCCAGATGGGAAAATGTTTGACCCTCATTTTCCTCCGTCTGGCCTTCTTGTTCAGGCAAAAAGTACATGGTATATGTAGCTTAAAAAGTGTTTGTAACACTGACCTTCAAACCTGGTCGTCCGTTTATACCATCCGTACCATTTCTTCCATTGCTGCCCTGTAAAGGGAAAAGAAACAGTGAGATGAATGACCTTGCTAGAAGCCACTCCAAGGGTCCCCTAGGGGGCTGAAACGAGCCCTTACCTCTAATAAACCACTTACCAGACCTTTAAGTTTCTGTTAAACAAGGACCCTGACTATAAAAGGGATAGCTCCTCCCCCGTCTTGTAACGCAATCTTTGCTTCCATGGCTAATCGAAGATGGCTGACTAATGGAAGGTGAAGGGGGAAAAAGAGATTTGTACACGACGACCGATATCCTTGTCTTGTTTCAAGTGATTTCCACTTGAAAATGTTTTTATTGACGATTAAAAAAGGGACGAATGGAGAAATACTGATCTTCATTTGCAAAACTCAAAAAATTAGGCTATCGCAATTTGAATTTCGCGCTCCTAACGGCTCTTCCTATCGCGAGATGGTCGTACTGGCCCTCTGACTCCCCTCCGTTTGCCTCAACTTCTTGAGCCGTCGATATCATTGACTAGAGGATCTCAGTACTGTGACATGCTCAGAGAGAGTGGTTTTCATGTACATATATGTACATTTATGTACATGTATGTAAATGTGTGTACGTGTATGTTGCGACATAACTCATCTTCCACTTCGAATTGATCCATTTTACGGTTGCTACAGTCGCGCACTAACTAGTCTTTAGCTTTAAAATTGCATTTTATTTTGCCATGGCGGATTTTCCATCAAAAAAAGCCAAAATAGCGGCGCGAGGTCTACGAGTCCGTTATACACTGGAGCTGGCGGTCGAACCCGGAATGGAAGAGCGATTGGAAAGCGTGAAGACAAGAATTCAGCGGTTGAAGGAACGCCTTCATTTAGCGAGTCGAACACCGATGGCAAATGTTATTTTGATGGAACGACTCTTAGACTTATTCGAATGGTCTGAACAAAGAGGTATGGTAAGTGAAAGTCACTCCTCTTTGTTTACATCTTGCTCGTTCGCTCAGGCTTCTCATCTCGCCAGCGACGCGGCCACCCAAACCGACATAAACGGGTCCAATGTTTTATCGCACGTTTTGAGTTATGGGGAGAAAAAGCCTCAAAAAAGGAAAAAAAAATAGAGCGAAGTTCGAGAATAGGTCCCTTTGAAAGGAACATAGTTTTCTAAGTATTTTGACACGGCACTATGTAGGATATTTTTTGCCTGAACATTTTAGACGCGCGTTGCAACGAGAAGCCTATTTCACTAGCTACTTATGAAAAGGTCGAGGTTTTCAATAGTTCTTGAGGCCCGTTCAGGCAATATAGCCGATGATAATTTGTTTTCCATCGGATTTCAGTCAACCAGACATGTTTCCAATCCGTGACCGAAATTATTTTATATGAGCACCCACGGGATTCGTATTTCAACACCACATATTCCGTTGGAGAAA